TGACATTGGATTACGAAAGCTCATTTTTTATCAAAAATCAAATTTATCACTTTTTTCTTCGAGGGTTTATACAAATGGATTGAAACTTTGCATAAATATTCTAGTGCTTAAAATATATACAAATAAAACATCCTAAAATTTTTTTGAGCAAAGAACCAAGTACATACATACATACATACATACATTTTCAATTTTGACTAGAGGCGACCCTAGTCAAAATAAATTTTGTCACTTTTTTCTTCGAAGGTTTATCCAAATGGATTGAAACTTTGCATAAATATTATAGTGCTTAAAATAAATACAAATAAAACATCTTAAAATTTTTTTGAGCAAAGAATCAAGGAGGAAATACATTTTCAATTTTGGACTAGGGGCGAGCCTAGTCAAAATCAATTTTATCACTTTTTTCTTCGAAGGTTTATCCAAATGCATGAAAGCTTTGCATAAATATTTTAGTGCTTAAAACAAATACAAATAAAACATTCAAAACAAATTTTCGAGCAATATCCAAGTAGGAAATACATTTTCAATTATAAACTTTGGACAGATCTAGTCAAAATCTAGTTTTTCATTTTTTTCTTCGAAGGTTTATCCAAATGGATTGAAACTTTGCATAAATATTTTTTTGCTTAAAACAAATACAAATAAAACATCCTTAAAAATTTTTCGAGCAAAGAACCAAGTAGGAAATACATTTTCAATTTTGGACTAGGGGCGACCCTAGTCAAAATCAATTTTGTCACTTTTTTCTTCGAGGGTTTATCCAAATGGATTGAAACTTTGCATAAATATTTTAATGTTTGAAACAAATACAAATAAAACATCTTAAAATTTTTTTGAGCAAAGAACCAAGTAGGAAATACATTTTCAATTTTGGACTAGGGGCGACCCTAGTCAAAATCAATTTTGTCACTTTTTTCTTTGAGGGTTTATACAAATGGATTGAAACTTTGCATAAATATTAAAGTGCTTAAAACAAATACAAATAAAACATCCAAAACAAATTTTCGAGCAATATCCAAGTAGGAAATACATTTTCAATTATGAACTTTGGACAGATCTAGTCAAAATCTAGTTTTTCATTTTTTTCTTCGAAGGTTTATCCAAATGGATTGAAACTTTGCATAAATATTTTTTTGCTTAAAACAAACACAAATAAAACATCCTTAAAAATTTTTCGAGCAAAGAACCAAGTAGGAAATACATTTTCAATTATGAACTTTGGACAGATCTAGTCAAAATCTAGTTTTTCATTTTTTTCTTCGAAGGTTTATCCAAATGGATTGAAACTTTGCATAAATATTAAAGTGCTTAAAATAAATACAAATAAAACATCTTAAAATTTTTTTGAGCAAAGAATCAAGAAGGAAATACATTTTCAATTTTGGACTAGGGGCGAGCCTAGTCAAAATCAATTTTATCACTTTTTTCTTCGAAGGTTTATCCAAATGCATGAAAGCTTTGCATAAATATTCTAGTGCTTAAAACAAATACAAATAAAACATTCAAAACAAATTTTCGAGCAATATCCAAGTAGGAAATACATTTTCAATTATGAACTTTGGACAGATCTAGTCAAAATCTAGTTTTTCATTTTTTTCTTCGAAGGTTTATCCAAATGGATTGAAACTTTGCATAAATATTAAAGTGCTTAAAATAAATACAAATAAAACATCTTAAAAATTTTTCGAGCCAAGAACCAAGTAGGAAATACATTTTCAATTTTGGACTAGGGGCGACCCTAGTCAAAATCAATTTTGTCACTTTTTTCTTCGAGGGTTTATCCAAATGGATTGAAACTTTGCATAAATATTTTAATGTTTAAAACAAATACAAATAAAACATCCTAAAATTTTTTTTGAGCAAAGAACCAAGTAGGAAATACATTTTCAATTATGAACTTTGGACAGATCTAGTCAAAATCTAGTTTTTCATTTTTTTCTTCGAAGGTTTATCCAAATGGATTGAAACTTTGCATAAATATTAAAATGCTTAAAATAAATACAAATAAAACATCTTAAAAATTTTTCGAGCCAAGAACCAAGTAGGAAATACATTTTCAATTTTGGACTAGGGGCGACCCTAGTCAAAATCAATTTTGTCACTTTTTTCTTCGAGGGTTTTTCCAAATGGATTGAAACTTTGCATAAATATTTTTTTGCTTAAAACAAACACAAATAAAACATCCTTAAAAATTTTTCGAGCAAAGAACCAAGTAGGAAATACATTTTCAATTATGAACTTTGGACAGATCTAGTCAAAATCTAGTTTTTCATTTTTTTCTTCGAAGGTTTATCCAAATGGATTGAAACTTTGCATAAATATTAAAGTGCTTAAAATAAATACAAATAAAACATCTTAAAATTTTTTTGAGCAAAGAATCAAGTAGGAAATACATTTTTAATTTTGACTAGAGGCGACCCTAGTCAAAATCAATTTTGTCACTTTTTTCTTCGAGGGTTTATCCAAATGGATTGAAACTTTTTGAAACCAAGTAGGAAATACATTTTTAATTATGAACTTGGAACAGGTCTAGTCAAAATCTAGTTTTTCATTTTTTTCTTCGAAGGTTTATCCAAATGGATTGAAACTTTGCATAAATATTCTAGTGCTTAAAACAAATACAAATAAAATATTCTAAAAATTTTTTCGAGCAAAGAATCAAGTAGGAAATACATTTTCAATTTTGGATTAGCGGCGACCCTAGTCAAAATCAATTTTGTCACTATTTTCTTCGAGGGTTTATACAAATGGAATGAAATTTTGCACAAATATTTTAATGCTAAAACTAATACAAATAAAACATCCTAAATTTTTTTGAGCAAAGAACCAAGTAGGAAATACATTTTTATTTTGGACTAGGGGCGACCCTAGTCAAAATCAATTTTGTCACTTTTTTCTTCGAGGGTTTATACAAATGGATTGAAACTTTGCATAAATATTCTAGCGCTTAAAACAAATACAAAAAAAACGTCCAAAAATTTTTTTGAGCAAAGAACCAAGTAGGAAATACATTTTCAATTATGAACTTTGGACAGGTCTAGTCAAAATCTAGTTTTTCATTTTTCTCTTCGAAGGTTTATCCAAATGGATTGAAACTTTGCATAAATATTTTGGTGCTTAAAACAAATACAAATAAAACATCCTTAAATTTTTTCGAGTAAAGAACCAAGTAGGAAAACATTTTTAATTTTGGACTAGGGGCGACCCTAGTCAAAATCAATTTTGTCACTTTTTTCTTCGAGGGTTTATACAAATGGATTGAAACTTTGCATAAATATTCTAGTGCTTAAAACAAATACAAAAAAACGTCAAAAAATTTTTTTGAGCAAAGAACCAAGTAGGAAATACATTTTCAATTTTGGACTAGGGGAGACCCTAGTCAAAATCAATTTTCTCACTTTTTTCTTCGAGGGTTTATCCAAATGGATTGAAACTTTGCATAAATATTCTAGTGCTCAAAATAAAACATCCTAAAATTTTTTTGAGCAAAGAACCAAGTAGGAAATATATTTTCAATTTTGGACTAGGGGCGACCCTAGTCAAAATTAATTTTGTCACTTTTTTCTTCGAGGGTTTATCCAAATGGATTGAAACTTTGCATAAATATTCTAGTGCTCAAAATAAAACATCCTAAAATTTTTTTGAGCAAAGCACCAAGTAGGAAATACATTTTCAATTTTGGACTAGGGGCGACCCTAGTCAAAATTAATTTTGTCACTTTTTTCTTCGAAGGTTTATCCAAATGGATTGAAACTTTGCATAAATATTTTAGTGCTTAAAAAAAATACAAATAAAACATCTTAAATTTTTTGAGCAAAGAACCAAGTAGGAAATATATTTTCAATTTTGGACTAGGGGCGACCCTAGTCAAAATCAATTTTGTCACTTTTTTCCTCGAGGGTTTATCCAAATGGATTGAAACTTTGCATAAATATTTTAGTGCTTTAAACAAATACAAATAAAACATCCTAAAATTTTTTTGAGCAAAGAACCAAGAAGGAAATACATTTTCAATTTTGGACTAGGGGAGACCCTAGTCAAAATCAATTTTGTCACTTTTTTCTTCGAGGGTTTATCCAAATGGATTGAAACTTTGCATAAATATTCTAGTGCTTTAAACAAATACAAATAAAACATCCTAAAAATTTTTTGAGCAAAGAACCAAGAAGGAAATACATTTTTAATTTTGGACTAGGGGCGACCCTAGTCAAAATCAATTTTGTCATTTTTTTCTTCGAGGGTTTATACAAATTTTTTTTCATTTTAATTGCACTTTATTGCATTTATTGACGACATACTGTCCGGAAATAATTCACATTTTACACTTTTGTATTTGTATACATATGAATTAGTATTATGTAGGATCAAACTTCTCTTCTTCATATCTAGGTTTCAAATAAACTAAGGCTCTCGTTTCGATCTTCTGTAGGCGTTACGTGATACTTTTCAGGTCCGTTCTATCAATATTCCATTCGTGGGTAATCTTGTAGCTCTCGTTCCTATTTCTCCCGCTACACTTCAAGTTCCTGACCCGTTCCTTAATCCAACGTTGCCCAAATGCCCAATTATGGCTTGATCTCGTACATTAAGCAGTCGAAGTATCTAAACTTCTGAAAAAGAACAAATTTGGAAATGGCTGGATTCGAACCGACGACCTTCGAGTTACCATCCCAAATTTGAGCCAAGCGCCTTACCTATTCGACCAGCAAGGCACTTAACAAATGGATTGAAACTTTGCATAAATATTCTAGTGCTTTAAACAAATACAAATAAAACATCCTAAATTTTTTTTGAGCAGAGAACCAAGTAGGAAACACATTTTCAATTATGAACTTGGGACAGGTATAGTCAAAATCTAGTTTTTCAGTTTTTTTTTTTCGAGGGTTTATCCAAATGGATTGAAACTTTGCATAAATATTCTAGTGCTTTAAACAAATACAAATAAAACATCCTTAAAAATTTTTTGAGCAAAGAACCAAGAAGGAAATACATTTTTAATTTTGGACTAGGGGCGACCCTAGTCAAAATCAATTTTGTCACTTTTTTCTTCGAGGGTTTATACAAATTTTTTTTCATTTTAATTGCACTTTATTGCATTTATTGACGACATACTGTCCGGAAATAATTCACATTTTACACTTTTGTATTTGTATACATATGAATTAGTATTATGTAGGATCAAACTTCTCTTCTTCATATCTAGGTTTCAAATAAACTAAGGCTCTCGTTTCGATCTTCTGTAGGCGTTACGTGATACTTTTCAGGTCCGTTCTATCAATATTCCATTCGTGGGTAATCTTGTAGCTCTCGTTCCTATTTCTCCCGCTACACTTCAAGTTCCTGACCCGTTCCTTAATCCAACGTTGCCCAAATGCCCAATTATGGCTTGATCCCGTACATTAAGCAGTCGAAGTATCTAAACTTCCGAAAAAGAACAAATTTGGAAATGGCTGGATTCGAACCGACGACCTTCGAGTTACCATCCCAAATTTGAGCCAAGCGCCTTACCTATTCGACCAGCAAGGCACTTAACAAATGGATTGAAACTTTGCATAAATATTCTAGTGCTTTAAACAAATACAAATAAAACATCCTAAATTTTTTTTGAGCAGAGAACCAAGTAGGAAACACATTTTCAATTATGAACTTGGGACAGGTATAGTCAAAATCTAGTTTTTCATTTTTTTCTTCGAGGGTTTATACAAATGGATTAAAACTTTGCATAAATATTCTAGTGCTAAAAGCAAATACAAATAAAACATCAGCAAAGAACCAAGTAGGAAATATATTTTCAATTTTGGACTAGGGGCGACCCTAGTCAAAATTAATTTTGTCACTTTTTTCTTCGAGGGTTTATTCAAATGGATTGAAACTTTGCATAAATATTCTAGTGCTCAAAATAAAACATCCTAAAATTTTTTTGAGCAAAGAACCAAGTAGGAAATACATTTTCAATTTTGAACTAGTGGCGACCCTAGTCAAAATTAATTTTGTCACTTTTTTCTTCGAAGGTTTATCCAAATGGATTGAAACTTTGCATAAATATTTTAGTGCTTAGAACAAATACAAATAAAACATCCTAAAATTTTTTTGAGCAAAGAACCAAGAAGGAAATACATTTTCAATTTTGGACTAGGGGAGACCCTAGTCAAAATCAATTTTCTCACTTTTTTCTTCGAGGGTTTATCCAAATGGATTGAAACTTTGCATAAATATTCTAATGCTTAAAACAAATACAAATAAAACATCTTAAATTTTTTGAGCAAAGAACCAAGTAGGAAATATATTTTTAATTTTGGACTAGGGGCGACCCTAGTCAAAATTAATTTTGTCACTTTTTTCTTCGAGGGTTTATCCAAATGGATTGAAACTTTGCATAAATATTCTAGTGCTAAAAATAAAACATCCTAAATTTTTTTTGAGCAAAGAACCAAGTAGGAAATACATTTTCAATTTTGGACTAGGGGCGACCCTAGTCAAAATTAATTTTGTCACTTTTTTCTTCGAAGGTTTATCCAAATGGATTGAAACTTTGCATAAATATTTTAGTGCTTAAAACAAATACAAATAAAACATCTTAAATTTTTTGAGCAAAAAACCAAGTAGGAAATATATTTTCAATTTTGGACTAGGGGCGACCCTAGTCAAAATCAATTTTGTCACTTTTTTCCTCGAGGGTTTATCCAAATGGATTGAAACTTTGCATAAATATTCTAGTGCTTTAAACAAATACAAATAAAACATCCTAAAATTTTTTTGAGCAAAGAACCAAGAAGGAAATACATTTTCAATTTTGGACTAGGGGAGACCCTAGTCAAAATCAATTTTGTCACTTTTTTCTTCGAGGGTTTATCCAAATGGATTGAAACTTTGCATAAATATTCTAGTGCTTTAAACAAATACAAATAAAACATCCTAAAATATTTTTGAGCAAAGAACCAAGAAGGAAATACATTTTCAATTTTGGACTAGGGGAGACCCTAGTCAAAATCAATTTTCTCACTTTTTTCTTCGAGGGTTTATCCAAATGGATTGAAACTTTGCATAAATATTCTAGTGCTTAAAACAAATACAAATAAAACATCTTAAATTTTTTGAGCAAAGAACCAAGTAGGAAATATATTTTCAATTTTGGACTAGGGGCGACCCTAGTCAAAATTAATTTTGTCACTTTTTTCTTCGAGGGTTTATCCAAATGGATTGAAACTTTGCATAAATATTCTAGTGCTCAAAATAAAACATCTTTAAATTTTTTTGAGCAAAGAACCAAGTAGGAAATACATTTTCAATTTTGGACTAGGGGCGACCCTAGTCAAAATCAATTTTGTCACTTTTTTCTTCGAGGGTTTATCCAAATGGATTGAAACTTTGCATAAATATTCTAATGCTTAAAAAAAATACAAATAAAACATCTTAAATTTTTTGAGCAAAGAACCAAGTAGGAAATATATTTTCAATTTTGGACTAGGGGCGACCCTAGTCAAAATTAATTTTGTCACTTTTTTCTTCGAGGGTTTATCCAAATGGATTGAAACTTTGCATAAATATTCTAGTGCTCAAAATAAAACATCCTAAAATTTTTTTGAGCAAAGAACCAAGTAGGAAATACATTTTCAATTTTGGACTAGGGGCGACCCTAGTCAAAATTAATTTTGTCACTTTTTTCTTCGAAGGTTTATCCAAATGGATTGAAACTTTGCATAAATATTTTAGTGGTTAAAAAAAATACAAATAAAACATCTAAAAATTTTTGAGCAAAGAACCAAGTAGGAAATATATTTTCAATTTTGGACTAGGGGCGACCCTAGTCAAAATCAATTTTGTCACTTTTTTCTTCGAGGGTTTATCCAAATGGATTGAAACTTTGCATAAATATTCTAGTGCTTTAAACAAATACAAATAAAACATCCTAAAATTTTTTTGAGCAAAGAACCAAGAAGGAAATACATTTTCAATTTTGGACTAGGGGAGACTCTAGTCAAAATCAATTTTGTCACTTTTTTCTTCGAGGGTTTATCCAAATGGATTGAAACTTTGCATAAATATTCTAATGCTTAAAACAAATACAAATAAAACATCTTAAATTTTTTTTGAGCAAAGCTCCAATAAGGAAATACATTTTCAATTTTGGACTAGGGGCGACCCTAGTCAAAATCAATTTTCTCACTTTTTTCTTCGAGGGTTTATCCAATTACAGTGAAACTTTGTGTGATCTTGTGCTGTCTTCAGATGATCTCTAAGCGCGGCAATGGGCCCACGTTCGCCCCAGCCAAGGAAGTAAGTATGATAAGTGAGTTGGAACAAGGGGGGAGGGGGGGGGGGGGGTTGGAAAAAGTAATTTTTTTGCGTAACGTAATAAGTAAACGGCCCCTAGGAAACTTGGGATTTTTGGGAATTAATCCCAAAAATCCCGAGTGTATACGCCTTGCCTAGTTATATTAAAAAGTTGATGCAAAATTAGTACAAAATATAAAAAACAACATTTTCTTAACTATGTACTATAATTTTATTTTTTTTTTGTCAAGCTCATTTACCGCATTCTTCCCAGAACTTGTACTTTCTGTCTAACTTTTTTTGATTTTCTTTTTCAAGCATTTCAAGGATCAGCCATGTCGGCATACGACGTTTTTTATAGTATTTTGGAGGTGGACTTTCAGTTGCCTTGCTAATCATTTCGTTAACATAATCCTCAGCTGAGAACTTTTGTGCTACTTTAATTTGATTTAACAGGCTATTAAGGAAACGTTTTTCTTTCTTCCATTCTCGTCTCTGCTTTGCCTTTGCCCAAACAAACTTCATCTTCTTCCTTAACTTTCGCAACTTGTGTTTTCTCATTTTCCTCTTTCTGATAACTATTAAACGTGCTGCTTGTTTAATACTATCTCTAATTTTACTTTCAGTTGGAAGTTCAATAGATTTATTAATGTTGGGAACATCCTCAATCACCTTGTTATTGATCTGAATTGGCATTTCAATGACTTTATTGGTTATTGGTACCTCGAAAATTTCTTTCTTCCATATTGGACGTTGAATTCCTATCTCATTAATTAACGTTTCATGACTCTTTTGTGGATACAGAGGATATACAATTTTATTCGGTTCATTTTTGTTGATTAATAAAGTTGGAATAAAATTTTGTGTTATTCTCGCTGGATTTGTCGAAATGTTATATTTTCTGCATGAATTTGTTATTAATCGTGTACAAAATGATATTCCTGTAATATAATCTTTTTTAGTCTATAACATTGTAGCATAATTAAGTTTAAATACCTGTTATTTGACGAACAAATAGCATTTTTAAGGAAGAGTTAAAAAAATTTTTGACGAATGTTGTACAAAGTTGTCGTCTCTACTATTTGAATAACTTTTGAGCGTTAATTTTTTTTGTAGCTCAACATTTCAACAACAACCAACAACATTTTTTATAAATAGTATCTTTTTAATAATTTTATTTCATTAAATGCGTGATATGAGTGCAATTAATACAAAACGAGTATGGATTGTTGTTCTAGGAGATATAGGCAGAAGTCCTAGGATGCAGAATCATGTAAAGAGCTTCGCAGATAATGGATATTTAGTAGAAGTTGTTGGATATATTGAATCGAGAGTAAATCAAGTAAACAAAATAATTTACGCAATATTCAAAATGTATGTGAACTATTATTTTTCTTTAATTCAGGATATTGCATCAGATCCTAGAGTTAATGTAAATAAGATGACATTATTTCCGGATCTTCAGCTGCCACGTCTTGTTAAATACATATTTAAGATATTCTGGATCATTTTATCAATGTTATCGATTTTCTTTAGCATTAAGAAAGCTGACATTTTGATGCTTCAAAATCCACCGGGGATTCCATCACTAGCTTTATGTTACTTTTATTGTCGAGTCGTTAAAGCTAAATTTATTATTGATTGGCATAATTATTCATGGACAATAATGGCATTAGATTCGTCATTAAAGAGTCCAGTTGTAAGGTTTGCAAAAGCTATCGAATATTATTTTGGACGAAAAAGTGACTTGAATTTCTGTGTCACAGAAGCAATGAGACAAGATTTGCTTGAGAATTATAATATTGAAGCAACAGTACTATACGATCGCCCACCTGAGATATTTCAGTCAATTGCTGTTGATAAGAAGCATAATATATTTCAGAAACTTGCAAAAATATATCCTGAATTTCGATCATTAGACAAGTATGATGAAGTGACAGCATTTACTATTAAAAATGACAAAGGCGAAATAAAATTGAGAGACGACAGACCAGGACTGATTGTTTCAAGTACAAGCTGGACGTCTGATGAAGATTTTCAAATTCTATTAGATGCTCTCATTGAATACGATAAAATAGCAATAAGTGACGATGTAAATTATCCAAAATTAATTTGCGTAATTACTGGTAAAGGACCACAAAAGGCTATGTATCAGCAGAAAATTCTTGAGCATAGATTAAAATTTGTCAAAATTCTAACTCCTTGGCTTGAAAATGAAGATTATCCACTAATGCTTGCGTCTGCTGATCTAGGTGTTTGCTTGCACTACAGTTCTAGTGGTCTTGATTTGCCTATGAAAGTCGTCGATATGTTTGGTTGTGGACTTCCTGTTTGCGCAATGAATTTTAAATGGTATGATTTCAATTGATATTCAAACAATAAATTGCTCTGGATGAATTAATTAAAATAATCGCTTACAGCTTGCATGAGTTGGTTGTTGATGGCAAAAATGGTTTTGTTTTTAATGATGCCAAAGAATTAAGTAATCATTTAACAGACTGGTTCTATGGATTTCCTGGAAATGTAGCTTTAACGGCAATGAAGGATGAATTTACAAGAAATTTAAGAAAGTTCCAATCTTTGAGATGGACTGAAAATTGGAAGAGCATCGTCCTAAACCGCTTATAATGCTTAATTAAAATTACGTTATAAGAAATATTTGAATAAATTTTATTGCACATGAAGTTGGCTACATCCAAGGTATAGACACTGAAATTTTATGTACCAAAAAACTTTCGAGTCTTGCAAAAAAATATTGATTAATAATGAAAAATAGTAAAACATCATAGTTATAAGCAATTTTTAAGCTGTAAACTGCTATTAGGATGTCGCAAATACTACGCCGAAATTCAAGGTAATGAATGTGGAATGATTTAATAGATAGTTTCTCTTATATTGTCAATATTTGGTTATTTAACATTCCAAATTTCTTCTTCTTCTATTACCAAAAAATATGCTTTGTAGGATCAATTTCATTTATCGCTCGCTTAGACCGATAATAATAAATTCCACAAAACTTAATTATTCAGTATTAAGTGGAAAAAATCAGTGGAATCGCTGTGGAAATTTAAAGTATAAACAACAACTTTTAGAAGCTCAGTTACAGCGATATAATTATCCTCAAATTACTCGTAATTATGGAATGCTTGTAGGCAGGATATTAAGAGGAGCTTTGAAATTACGCTACTTATTACTCGGTGGAGCTGTTGGAGGAACTGTTACTCTTAATAATGTAAGTTTATTTGAAATCGTATAGAGCAAAGTCTAACAATTAATATCCACTGGACTCACTTGTAATTACTTATATAGAAATATGAGCAATGGCGAGACGGACTTCCAGATATGAAATGGTTAAACGAAGTATTTCCAGACAATGATCAATGGCAAAAATTTTCGACGTCTCTTGTTAACGTAACGGAATCGCTCAAAAATTCTATCGAAATAGGTATGTCCATAAATTACATCATCATCTACAAACACTTAAGAACTTACTTTATTCTTAGATCCAAGACTTAAAAAATTGAGTGAAGACAAGATGAATGAGTGGAAAAAGTGGTTTGACAGTCGACTGGATAATGCCATAGAGATGACTGAGATTGAGACACAACTCGAAAATGCCGAAAGTATGCATAACTCAATAATTTCAATTTTTTTCTGGTTTTAGCATATCTTGATCGACATTCAAGAATGATTGTATTTATTAACGATACTTTTCTTTACATCCTGTAATATCGTATAGGACACCATGCGATGCTGGTGATACTCTTTAAATTTCTTGAAGGTAATCTAAATTAAATTAATTCAATCATTCTTGAATTCGCATGACTAAAATTTCTCTAAATTCCATCATTTCTATTGAAAAAACACAAAAAAATATTTAAAATTGTAGATTTAAAGACGGATTTGGTGAATTCATCGAAAGTCGTAGCCAAGGAAATGAATTATGATGAGCATAAAAGGAAAAACAATTTACTTCAAAAACAAATTGATCAATTGCAAACAGAGATCATGACTGTTCAAATTAAGTATCAAAAGGAGCTCGAGAAATTAGAGAAAGAAAATCGCGATTTACGTCAGCAATATTTGTTAATGAAAAACAATAGAAAAATTCCGAATAAAAAGATTAAGAAATCATTGATTGATATGTATTCGGAAGTTCTAGATGAGTTGTCAGGATACGATACAAGCTATTCTACTGCAGATCATTTACCAAGAGTTGTCGTTGTAGGCGATCAAAGTAGTGGCAAGACATCAGTTTTAGAATCAATAGCCCAAGCTCGAATTTTCCCAAGAGGAAGTGGAGAAATGATGACAAGAGCTCCTGTTAAAGTGACACTATCTGAGGGACCGTATCATATTGCCATGTTTCGTGATTCAAATCGAGAATTTGATTTGACAAAAGAGAGTGATTTGTCTGAACTGAGACGAGAAGTTGAAATACGAATGAGAAACTCGATAAGAGGCGGTAAAACAGTTAGTAATGAGGTCATTTCGATGACTGTAAGAGGACCAGGATTACAAAGAATGGTTCTTGTTGATTTACCCGGTATTATTTCAACTCAAACCGTTGATATGGCTGCAGATACAAAAGATTCAATAACAATGATGACTAAACATTATATGAGTAATCCAAATGCAATCATATTATGTATTCAAGACGGTTCCGTTGATGCAGAACGTTCGGCTGTCACTGACATAGTCAGTCAATGCGATCCGCTTGGAAAAAGAACAATATTTGTTTTAACAAAAGTAGATATGGCTGAAAATCTAGCAGATCCAGATAGAATTCGTAGAATTTTAAGTGGAAAACTGTTTCCAATGAAAGCCTTGGGTTATTTTGCAGTTGTAACTGGACGTGGTCGAAAGGATGATTCTATAGACATTATTCGCGATTATGAAGAAAACTTTTTTAAAAATTCAAAGCTTTTTCAGAGTGGCGTAACAATGTCCCATCAGTGTACATCGAGAAATTTGAGCTTGGCAGTAGCTGATCGATTCTGGAAGATGGTAAGAGAGACAATTGAGCAACAAGCTGATGCATTCAAGGCTACAAGATTTAATCTTGAAACAGAATGGAAAAATAACTACCCTAGAATCCGAGAATTAGGACGTGATGAATTGTATGAAAAGGCTAGAGGCGAAGTACTTGATGAAGTTGTTAATTTATCTCAAATTAGTCCAAAGAAATGGGAAGAGTTGTTGAACAAAAAGTTGTGGGAAAAAATATCAAATTATGTTTTTGAAAACATTTACTTACCAGCAGCTCAATCTGGCTCACAAAATTCATTTAATACAATGGTTGATATTAAACTTCGACAATGGGCAGAAGATGTCTTACCAGCAAAAAGCGTAGAAAGTGGATGGGAGACATTACAAGAAGAATTTTTTAATCTTAATGAAAAAGCTAAGAAAAATCCAGATCATGATGACATTTTTGATCATTTGAAAACAGCCGTAATCGATGAAGCTATGCGAAAACATTCTTGGGAAGATAAAGCAATGGATATGCTTCGCGTAATTCAACTAAACACATTAGAGGATAGAAATGTGCATGACAAAACCGAGTGGGATCAAGCTGTTAAATTTTTAGAGGGCTCTGTTAAGGATAAACTTCATAACACCCAGGAGACAATTCATGAAATGTTTGGACCGGGACGTAAATATTTCTGGAAATCGTGGACTGACGAACAGAAGAGGAGACGTTATGTTAAAAGCGAGCTCGATAAGATATTATCAAGCGATAAAAAGCATCCACCAATTTTGACTTATGATGAATTAACAACTGTACGAAAAAATCTTCAAAGGAGTAACGTTGAAGTTGAAACAGACTATATTAGGTACTTAATAATACATTATCAATGTTCAAAAATAAGCATTGTTCTAAATGAAATATAATTATTTGTTTCCAGAGAGACTTGGTATCCTATTTATCGAGAGCATTTTCTTAATCGTGCATTGTCACGCGTTTATGATCTAAGAAAAGCCTATTATTACTATAGCACAAACCAACATGAAACTTTCGACGTAATTTCCTGAAATTTCTCTAAACATTTCTTATAATTAAAATATGAATAAAAAAATTACAGATTAACGTAAGCGATGTGGTTCTTTTCTGGAGAATTCAACAAGTTATTAAAGTCACTGCCAATGCTTTACGCCAGCAAATTGTCAATCGTGAAGCAAGACGTGTTGACAAAGAAATCAAAGAAGTTTTAGGTAAGATTCAACTTTGTAACAATGTATCAAAAGGAAATAGATTTTCATCATTTCTTTGATTCCTCTTTTTAGATGACTTTGGTGAAGATGAAGATAAAAAAATTCAACTTTTAACGGGTAAAAGAGTGTTATTAGCTGAAGAATTAAGTGAGTCCATTGATAAATTATGATTTTAATAATTAAGCTTAAACATAAATACTTTCTTTCACTTCAAGTTCGCGTGCGACACATTCAAGAGAAATTAGAGGAATTTATTAATGCATTGAACGCTGAAAAGTGAATTGAATAATTTTTGTGAAAGATTGATGAAATTTTGTTGTAAATTTATTAACCCATTAAAAAAATAAAAGCTTAATATACGAATAAATCGAAGTCAATTAGGTACATTAAGTTGAGTTTTAGATCCAATTTTCAGTAATTTAATCTCTTTAAAATATTTTTTTGTGATTTAATCACATTATTGTAGCAAATCCATGAAACTTTTCAATTCCTAGCTGATTTATCAACTAAGTCCTTCTCAAAAGCTAATGCCAGTAAATTTATTAATAAATTCAAAGAAATGTTTGTAAAAATTGTAATACTATTAACCTGGAAGGTGAATGTAGAAACTGCTAGTATCTAGTTCTAGAGTTAAAGTTAATAATACAAGTAGGGTAAACCATGTTGAAATTTGTGCAATGTTGAAATTTTGTGCGCTCAAATTAAATGCAAATCATCATTAATAAGCCATTTAAAAAACATAATTTTACCAAATTTTTAAGGTATTGTTTAATTTTAACTTTTAATCTATACACTTCACTATCTATCTGTATGAAATTTAAAAATTTGCAGGAGGTTCTTGCTTTATGAATATTTTACTGTTTAATAAGCTCAGTCAAAATTAATTAAGTTGAATCTTATATCTTGCATGCATCTTAAGAAATAAATTAAAAACAGTCAGCTGAGTAGTTCTTATTTGGTTTTAATTTGATTCAGATATTTAACTTGCCACAAATCGCGAATTAAGTTCCAAAAAATTGTAAACAAAATGTTTGTTTACATTTGAGAATTAAAATGAAAACTCCAACAAATTGTGATCTTTTAAGTTTATAATCAGATTTTCATAATCAGCCATTAAAAAGTTACATGCAAATCAAATCTTCATGTGCAAAAACACACAAATTTCAACATGGTTTACCCTATATACGTGTACAATAATAAAACAGTTTTCATTCAAAACTTTTGGTTTCAATAATGCGAAACTTATACAAATATAGAAGTACTTATCTTGATTGAAGATTATTGTGGTAATGTCCTTTAAACAAATGACTTAACTTAATTTGATTGATTCTGATAATTTTTCATTGTAAATTTACAAACATACTTAGAGATTTTTCTTTCTTTATTACTAATGTGTCTTGAAGCGGATTTAAGTGCGCTATTTTGCGAACGAGCTTTAAATTGAAATATCAGAAATATGTTTTCTTAATTCAACTTTATTTCTTTAGCTAGGGTTTACACTAAGCTTTCTCGATTTCTCGGTCTCGACAAATTCTCGAGACCGAGACCGAGACCGAGACTTCCCGGGAATTCCCGGGAAGTCTCGACTTTAAAAACTACTTAAAATTTCGCTGAAAGTAATTAAAAAACACTTAGAACATGTAGATTACGTCTATTTGTTATTGAACTTCTGGATATATTCCTTGTTATGCGATCAGTCAAACTAATTTTATTGTCTTAATACTATTATAAAATATAAAAGAAATACGAAATACGTAATGATAAAAGAAAAGCATAATGATAAGAAAGTGTGTCCCTATTAAAACTATTCTGGGTTTTGGAAATGACTTTTCACAAAAACGATAGCATTTAAGTTTTTGTTAAGCAATCGCTTCCTTTGCTTGGTCAAAACATTATTGCTGATTGAAAAATTACGTTCACTCTGGGTAGATGTTGGTTGAATGCTTAGCAGTGCATTATACAGCTGATTTAATTTTTAGTGATATTAAACCATTAGGAAGCTCAATAATTTGCACCCGAAAAATCCCATACAAAAAGAGAAAAAATCCCATACCTCCGAAGAGATTGAAGCAAATGAAAATTTCATGTGTGAAAATGCGCAAATTTCAAGGTCATTTACCCTAACTGTAAGATTAACTACAAACTGTGATGGGAAAAATTCTAAAATTATCATTTTTACTTAAATTTTTTTCTTCTCTAGTCTCGGGTCTCGGTCTCGGAAAATTCTCGAGACCAAGACGAGATCGAGACCGAGACTTCCCGGAAAGTCTCGGTCTCGATTTCGTCATCGGGAAAGCATAGTTTACACTAATAGTGGGATATAAATTTATGTATTAGTTCAGTATTAGTTAAAATTAAACTTACAATATTTGCTGTTTGCGTCCGTCTTCAATGACGTGTAAAATATAAGAGGCATGTATCAATTTAAAGGGGACTTTTTTTATCAAGTAACATTTCTATGTGAGTTTGAATTTTAGTACTTATCAGAAAGGCCAAATTGATTATTGATCGTTTGTGATTAAAATGATAGAGCAACAAACTTTAAATAATTTGCAGGTTTTCAAAATATAAATACTTACTATGAAGTCTCTAAATAGATCAGAGTTGCGAAATAGGTAAAAATGACTAATGAAGCAACTCTAAAATAAATTTTTAACTAAAGGTAAACAAAGTATCCTTAGTCATTTTTTCATGAGAAAAAGTGATGTTAGAGCTAGACAAATGAAATATGCGAATGACCTTGCAATACCTGATTATTTAAAAAAGAATGCTACAATGAAACAAACTGCAGAAAGGATCAAAGCAATGGCGATCGTCCAACTTTAAGTTACCTAGAAAGTAAATAAAAATACTTAAACTAGTGTATCGGGTAGAAACCCAATGCGGATTATATTCACACCGTTCCATCAAAAGTCTTATGGATAGACCAAGATTTGCCCAGTATGAAGGTATGAAGCTAAGTTTGGAGATTGAAGCTAGCGAAACAGCTCATCATAAGTTTGAAGGTTTAAAGCTTAACGAACATTCTTTATAAGTTTTTTAAATTTTTTTTTTCGTCCAAAGTTTAATTATATAAAAATCACAGTGAACTTTTGTTTTAAAAATTCTTAAGAAAGGAAAGTTTTTTGCTTTTTCTGAAGCAACGGCTGTTCCTACCTTGCACAAAAATAATACAGTTCTTCTATAGAGCAGCACGGATCAAATGTAAAAAACTAGAATTCTCTACGATGTCTCGTTATTGAGATTTCTTGCTGGTTAACTTGCTTGCTTACAGAACGCGTATTTTGCGAAAATGACGTAAAATTTCGGGCACAAACTTTTCTTCTGGGAACTTTTATAACCAATTTTGCTTCGTTTTCTCACAAAATGCAAAAAACTGATTTTTCAATCTGAACAAAACCAATAGATTCACATGTGAAAACGGTGTGAATATAAAAAATTATAAAATCATCAATTCAAGTCATCATTCATAACTCTTCTTCATTTATTTAAATATTTTTTCATAAAAATTTGGTCCACACATTAATGTTTCTCATAGTTACATCAAATTGTTACTTTTTTACAATAATTTCTATAACGTTATGAAGATATGTTTTGCATTTTTCTAACGTTTTCTTTTTTTTTCTCTTGAAAAAGTGTCGATAATAGTGCATTTTTACTTAATATTTAAAAGGATATTTATAGATCTCATTAAAAATTAGTGACAAATGTATCAATAGTATTTAAAATTGACATTTCAACCATTCAGAAAAATAAAGATGTCAAGAAAAGGAGGATTTATTTTGAAAGTTCTTCGCATAATACAATAATTAGATGAATTGTGTTGTGTTATTTAAGTAGCACTTTTGTGTTAATTTTATAAAATTGCTTCTCCGGTTCATATAATAAGATTTATTTTCATTGTTTACATATAAAGTTAATTATCGCACCGCGAATAATTTATAAATTTTTTTCTTTCATGTTATGATACTCGACCCACTTTATAATATGTTCCATTTATGCTCTTTCGTTCCTGAATTTCTACTAGGCTACGAATGAAACCAATAATATATTTTAAAAAACTCTTGTATTGTGAAATTTTCAAGTTTTTTGAAGGAAGTTGTATTATCGTCATTTAAACACAAAAAATTAATAATCTTTGATTCGAACACTTTGATATCTCAGGTTAAATTTTGGTTCCAGTCTCGGAAATTTAAAAAACCGAGAAATCGAGAAGGCCGAATTTCCAATAGGGTAAACCATGTTGAAATTTGTGCAATATTGAAATTTGTGCGCTCAAATTAAATGCAAATCATCATTAATAAGCCATTTATACTGAACATTTGTATGCAGTTCTATGTAAAATAGATGTCCAAATGTTTCTACCACATTTAAGATGGTCTTGAAACCTTAGGCAACTCTAAATTTGAAAAAATCAAAACCCCATACAAAATTTAAATTTTTATCTTTTAAATTTTTTTGGACATAACAAATGCTTCTAATTAGCATAAAATTGATGAAATATCGAATTTGAATATTGTTTAATCATTTAAAAATGTTTCTGGTCATAAAACGCCATTGGAAGTGCTCTAATAATTGATTTTAAAATCACAGGTTTTTAAATGTTGAAATTTGTGTAAAATATTTTGACAAATGTTAAACTTTGTGCGATTTTCATCGTAGCAAGCAATAACACATTTTGTCAACAATAAATATTATTTATGCATGAAATTCATGTTTTTAGAAGTACAAATGAGAAATAACATGATTGGAACTCCTCAAAGTTAAAAACCAAAAGTTAAAAAAATGCGTCTCGTTCAAAACTGTAGAAAATTTTATGAAAAACTTCGAAACCTTCAAAAAAATTATTAATCTCTCCAAAGCATTCTTATGTATATCCTCTTTTTATTTCAATTCAAGATCATTTTTAAAAAACATGATTTTACCAAATTTTTAAGGTATTGTTTAATTTTAACTTTTAATCTATACACTTCACTATCTATCTGTATGAAATTTAAAAATTTGCAGGAGGTTCTTGCTTTATGAATATTTTACTGTTTAATAAGCTCAGTCAAAATTAATTAAGTTGAATCTTATATCTTGCATGCATCTTAAGAAATAAATTAAAAACAGTCAGCTGAGTAGTTCTTATTTGGTTTTAATTTGATTCAGATATTTTTCTTGCCACAAATCGCGAATTAAGTTCCAAAAAATTGTAAACAAAATGTTTGTTTACATTTGAGAATTAAAATGAAAACTCCAACAAATTGTGATCTTTTAAGTTTATAATCAGATTTTCATAATCAGCCATTAAAAAGTTACATGCAAATCAAATCTTCATGTGCAAAAACACACAAATTTCAACATGGTTTACCCTAGCTAATTTTCATCTCGCTTATCTTTACATTTATGTACTTTTCGTTCGTTATCTCGGCAAGGTTAAATAATTAACGATTTTTTGATTCAATACAGTGTAGCCTGTGGAAATTTTTTTTTTCCTAAAATTTGTAAAATGCAAACATATAATGAATTTAGATAATTTTAGAAGTTTTTTTTAAAGTGTATATATTAGTATATTTTGTTATAAGATTTGTAATAACTTGCTAGGTTGTTGCTTGCTTGTTGAGGTTCTTCGATCAATAATACAATGGGTTTTTGTTATTATTTCTCTTCATAAAACTCAAAAAGTAGATTCCTTTCAAAAAGGAAAAGGGATGGACGATTTTAGTGAACTGCGTCAATATCTCGTTGTGCACGAGATATTTTCAGTTTATCTTTTGGAGTGTTGTTTTCGCCTGATTCAAGTGCAAACATTTTCATCTTTTCTTTAAAAGACAATTTTTCGGGGACTGGTTGTTCCGTTTTGTTTTGTTGCTGCTCGGCTAAACGTCTTTGACGTGGATCACTGGAAAAATAAGGCAAAAAAAAATAGAAAAATTAAAACCTTTGACATATCATAAAATTATGATAAAACATTGTATGTAACTTAAAGCAGTTTATAAATTTCAAGGTAGTAATTTTAATTATTGATTTTATGGAGATCTTCGAAAAACAAAAATAACGAGAATATTAAGAATAAATGTAATTTCGTATAATAATTACCGATAAACTTCTTGAGCTCCTATTACTCCAGGTGTTGACTGGTTTCCGCCACTCCAATTTGTGTCTGACGTTTCTGGTGTTTGTGGACTCTGTAGCATTGCAGTTGTCTCATCTATAAATCTCTATATAAAGTAATTGAAAAGTAAAAATAAAGAATTTCTTTTTTTCTTTATAAAATAAATTCGAAACTCACACTAGGATCCTCACGGATAGCTGATAAATCGAATTCTGTTGATGTTACATCGAACGTATTATTATTCTCATGATCATGAAATGAAACACGTTTATTGTCTCTAGTGAATGGCATCACACTGTTATTATTAATCAGATTCAACTGCTGTTGGATATGATGAGCTGTAAAATTCCCCGTACCAGTAATTGCCGTTGGCGATAGCAATGGAGATTGTTCACTTGATGTAACGTATTTAATATTATTAGTATTAGTAATGATTGGATGTTCATTAAATGATAATTTTTGGAAAGTTCCACTATTTCTTAGTTTCTGATGCTGCATTATAGCAAATGAACTTCCTCGTTCAGGAGGTGGGGGTGGTGGATTATTTTGTTCGTCAGGCAGAAAATCGATTGTCAATTCATTCATTTCTTTGTTTACCTGTGTCAGCATTTGATTTGCATTTGTGTTATTAATTGTGATTTCTGTTAAATTTTGAGTCTTTGTGTCAATATGATGTTGCGATGCAAAACTTGTTACTTTTCCGTGTTTTGAAGGCGACGATGGATTACTATTACTGTATGCGTTAGTTGATTTTAAAATACTTTTCGGTTGAATAAGTGGCGGCTGTAAATTTGATTGTGAAATATTTTCTACTGTTATTGGGGAAATCTCAGATGATGCTGGCGAGATATTTGTCGGTGTTGTTTTTATATCAACTTGCTTGAGACGAGTTGTAGGGACATTAATTTGACTAGGATTGTTTGAACTTGACTGAAGACGTAAAACTTCTTGAACAGCACTGTTATTTTTTTGATATTGCATATCATTTTCCTCTTCATTCTCATCTTCTTGTGCTCTTCTCTCAAAGTCTCGCTCAAGAACTAATGTCTTTAATTGCTCTTCTTGTTGACCTGTTCTCGACTGTAGTAGTGAAAGCTCAACGATTTGTTGATCTCTCCATTGTCGAATTTGTTCACGTCTTATTTCTAATTCTTTTTCTCTCTCTTCTCGTTCCCAAGGATTTGCTGCTGATGTAAGCGATGTATTTTTTATAGCATTCTGCTGCACTGGATAGAGTGCAGTTTTTGGTGCTTCCGTTGCACTATAATTCAATGCTGGTGTTACTTGGGATAATGATTGTTGAGAAGTTCCGTTCTTAAATAAAGGATGTGTGGATGTAGGAGGAAGTGGAGGTTGGTCCTCAATACGCTACAAAAATAATGTTAGTAAAAATTACGAATTTAAATTAATTTAGTGTAGGGCTTAAATTCATTAATCTGGCAATGTCCTGTGCAGTTACACAAACATAAACGTTAATAAATTAATGAAAATTCGTGCATTTACCTGTGGCTTAGGTGCGGTATTAGGTGCCAATTGCTTTTGTGGACTTTGTGAATGAAATACTTGTCGATTTTGAGAATTTGGCGATAACATTTGTGGAGGAGGCAAATTTGATTGCGGAATGTGGATATTGTCCATGGAGTTTGAAAAAGGAGGAATTGGTCCATTTATTGGATGATTACGTTGTTGACGCTTTAATAATTCGCCCATTTCAGCCATTTTTGCAGTACCACGAAGAAGGGCTTGTTGATTAGGTGACAATTGTGGGTTTTGTTGCTGTTGTTGTTGATATTGCATATGTTGAACAGGATCTTGGAATTGCTGCTGAGGCATAAAATAATTTCCAGGAATTTGGTTAACACTTTGCATACTTTGACTTGCAGGAATGTTTGCAGCGTACCCACTGCTTGTATGCGCAATATTTGGCATTGATGGTGCCATCATTTGCTGTTGAGGATTCATACGTGCATCTCTAATAAAACCTACGTTTTGTTGATGAGTCATTTTATTTGGCATAATAGGTGGTCTATGCGGTGTAATGGGTGAATTAGTAATTGACGACGATGCATTCGACATTCCACCTAAATTTGGATGCGAAAGATGTTGTTGTGCAGGTGAAGGCATCATATTATTTGTGTTATTGTGATTAAATCCCATCAATAATGGTGGATTTGTTTGCATCAAATTACCCGTGCTAGTGCTTTGTGAAGTGTTAGGAATACTGGGCGTAGATGATAGATTCATTACATGGCTATTATTGCTACTATTGAAATAGGCAGATGTTGGACGGTTCATCGAATTGGTCGTTGATGGTATATTAGTACTGTTTCCCATGCTATTACCAATTTGTGCAACTTGAGGAGTCAGCTGATGATTCATTGAACGACTAAAAAAATTCATAAAGTTTATGAATTAAGTCAAAACATATAAATATTTCAATGTAGTAAATTTAGCTTAGTTAACTTACTTATCTCCAAGATTTGGATGACTTTGATTCTGTTGACGATAAACACTAAGATTTTGGTAAAATCCTTGATCATTTGCAGATGTATTGATGTTTCCTGCACTACTACTGCTTTGAACTGTCAAATTCTGTGTACTTTTCGATTTATTGCCTGTATTTCCTGTATACACATAAATTATTTGATTCATGAATGAAGAGCGCCATGATAAATTGAAAAATTTTGCATACCAATATGATGTAATGCTGGAACAGACTTGCTATTTAAGATCTGAGAACCGGTTATAGGTGGTTTTGATTCTGCTCCCACTTTTGTCATATCTCTCTCAGACATTCTACGACCACCTAATAAAAAAAAATTTTAGATTTCTGATTTTAAAATATGTAAATCCATTATAAATTATGAAATTACATAAAGGCAACAAAAGAATTTAAAAGTTTCAAAAAATTCTGCTTTTGCAATGTATTATTTACATGTCACAAAACAAAGTTCTACAAAAATAAAACAGTACTTAAAATCATACATACATGCATTTATGTATTCTACATAAATGTGCAACAAACTTTTCATTAAAGTCATTTATTTTTGTTTAAAACTTTCTGCTAACGTTATTAAAATTTAAAAAATAAATTTACTATACATTTCTTCCATTATTTAAAAACTATTGAAATCCCTAATTTCCAAAAACAAATTGCGAAATTGACAATTAAAATAATTCATGGAAAATTAAATTGATTAAAAAGTTTTTAAATAATTCATCAACAATGATCGAACTGAACGAACTTTCTGGTATTGATTTTCTATCAATTCTCAATTTATTGTAATAAAATCAGAATTTATGATGGAATGTTGTTGTTCATAAATAACATGTTACAGAAATGTCAATATTTCAAACTGAGCTTGTTAAATGGCTAGATTTTTGAAGGATGCTGTAAATTTAAATAAATGAAAATAATTCATTGAAGTATATCGATTTTATATTTCTAAATAATTCGAGAAGCTATCACAACTGTTATGGATAATTTTATGCTTCAGTAAATTATTATTAAGTAGATGTAGAGGCTTGAGGAAAAAAACATGTGCATCTTTGGTCATGCATCTTTCTTAACTAATTTTTAAGTTGCAATCATGATAATTCAAACTCATTTTACTAAGAGATATTTAAGATAAATAACCAATAATCTGAATATTTGTGAAAACCAATTTTGCAAAGGTCAATAATTGTGACAGTAATAAAATAAATATACATTAAGCGAAAGTCTAGTGCGTCATTCTAGAATGATGTTTGAGAGTGGATGACCATAAAACTATATCAATGCGTAAATCACTGGATTATATTGGATTTTTTCTGTTGTGAAAACGGATTATCTGAGGTATAAAAATAACAATTTAAATTAAAAGTCGAATACTCAAACTTGTGCAAAACCTTAATTGCAGCATTGATTGGATTTTATATATTCATCAAGCTCAAAGTCAAGAAGAGACTGATGGAAGTATAAAACGAAGCAAGGGAAAAAAATTAATGAAATAAAGAACAATAAAAATAATGAAAACATTCAAAAACTAAAATGTCGTAAAAAGTTGATTTTTATATTTTAAAACAAGTCTGCTGAAGAGGTATTATTAAGCGATCCATATGTAAAAATTTCAGCAAAAAAAATTTTTTTTATAAGTTTGAGGAAAGTGAATGAGATAGATTTACAAAAAAAAAATAAAAAAAAAAAACAGAATAAAGTAGATTAAAAACGTAAGATACACATCTAAAAATAATTAGAGATTGAATCCTACTGTGTCAAATTATTAGGCTTTCATTGTCGTCGTCATGCTTTTGATGATTCCGTTGATTCTGTAATAGCTTTTGGTGACTTGAAGTCGTCATTTTTGATTTTGAATTTTTCTTTTTGGACCTTTTTGCAGAATCTCTTTTGATATTGTAACATGGCGATCGACATTTGTGTTTTTCGAAGTTGTAAGAAAATGGAGCTCGAGCATTAATGGGCATATTCTCAATATTTTTGCATTTGGACTGGCAATGTAGTGATTTTGTTAATCCAAAGCAATCTGGAAACTGAGGAATATTTTTATATTCAATGGCATTAATGTCTGATAAACTTGATTGATGATTTGGTTTCATTTTAATTTTATCTAACCGATTTAGAATGTCATGATATTGCTTGCAATCACCATAAAGTTTATTTTCTAAGCATATGATGGGAGAGGATGTTGCATCTTTCATAAACGAACATGCTAATTTGTCTTTTCCTGATTTTTTCAACCCATACTCGCACCATTCTTTTAATTGTTTTCGCACAATTGTCATTTCATCACGAGATAATTTATTACCGCTATTTGGCATTATTGATAAATTTGGTGTTGATTGGTAAAATTTGTTTATGCAATTACATTCAGATGTCGTAAAGGGTAATGCATTGAAATAGGATGTTAAAGCTCTTACTTTTCCAGAGCATATTTTATCATTCTCACTACGATTAATTTTATCCCATTTAATTTTGTAATTTAGTGAATTTTTATTTTTTTTATTGCCTTTCTCATGTTGTTGTTTTCGTAAATTTTGTTCATGCACATCTTCCTCATTCTTTTCCTCCATTTTAATTTTAATTAACTTATCAATTAAGGTACAATGGTCATCTAATGATGATGCTGACGATGAAAATTTAGATTTAGGAACTGATTGTGAACGTATCACATAGCCATCCTTTGTTCGTCTCACATTACTCATTGCTCTAGATGCATGATGGGAGTAAATATAATTGATGTTGTTATTATGGCAATGGTGAAAATGATGTTGATGCATTAAAGAGCAGGAAGTATGAAAGGAAGGATTAGTTGTACATTTGGAATCATGAAACAATTGAGGAGTATTTTTTTTATCAATGCAATCAAATTGCTTGTGGGGAAGTTTAGGGAAATTTTTACCATGGCTAGCTGAGCTATATAAGCATTGCTGCGATGGTCCATTCTTTAACATGTCGAAACTAACGGTTTTTCTGCATGTATTAATTATTTCCTTTTTCGGAAGTATCTTATCACTACTCTGCACACGACATGGCGCAAATTCATTTGAATCATCATCGATAAAAGGAATTTCAGTTGAATCTTCCAACGATTTAATATCATATTCACTTAAAGCTGGCTGTAGAGAATCATTGCTTGTACAAAGAGTTCCTTTCGAATTTTTGTCATTTTTACTATTCATTGAGTCAGTTTTGTGTTTATCGTTGTCCTCATCATTATCGCGATATTCTTCTATAAAAATTGATGGATTAGTATCCCATCGTTTTTGTGGAACCAATGGAGCTATAAATGTAGGCGATTGACTTGAGACTCTTCTAAACGGTTGATATTGTGGCATTATTATGTTACCAGTACTGGCCATTGAATGTAAACTATTGCTACGCGTACGATTATTTGTATTATTTAGACTTGATGATGCCGAACGATAATCACGATAACGTGGATCAAAATGGATTTGATCTAATTGATCGTTTGATAAAATATCTTCGTCTGAATAAGATGTGCTATAGCGACGAGTTCCGGGATAAATATCTGGATTAGAGCACCTACGAAAATTCAATTGATTGAGCGATAACGTACTCGAACGACGTGGGTTGAGGTGTGGTTTTTGATAAGATGATGTAAGAGGAACATGACCTAACCGATAACGACGAATATTTTCATCAGAATCAGATCGAGATATTTCTTCATATTTTTTAATTAAATCATTTTTTAAACACACATAGAGAAATTTTCGTTTATTTTTATTATTTTTCGTTAAGCATGTTAGAAAGAAAATAAAAGAAGAAGAAATACGGGAGAGAGAAGAAACAAATCGACAGAAAAATTCGTTAGCATCAAATAAAGTACCATTACAAAATTTTACTTCTGTTAGTAAGTTTCTATTAATAAATCTTCATTTTGCTAAATAGCAATACAGCACGAAATATTCTATAAGATAGAAAGCACAGTATAAAATATGTATTACCTCTTTGAATTACGGGACTCGGTTGCTGAAGAAGCGTTGCCAAACCATGAAAAATGGCACCTAAAGTATTATTGAACGAAATATTAAATTGCTTAGTATTGAATTAATCTGATATATTACCTTGTTTGGCAACTTCCAAAGTGACTATTGGACCTGTTCTTACTAAATAATCGGCAGCGCGTTCCTGTGTGATACCAATTAAACTTTGTCCATCGACTCGCAATAACTGATCGCCTGCTTGCAACCGTCCATCCGCATCTGCTGCACCTCCAGACACAACAGATTTTATATAGATTCCCAAACGTTCCTGTTAAATATTTTTTTTACAACAAAAAATCGCTTTGTATCACAAACACACAACTTACTTGTCCTGCTCCTTTGGCTGCAACTATTGAAAGACCCATTCCATTTGAATTTTTGTGAAGCTTTATTGTTTGGACTTCCGGTTGAGGCATCTTTGTAGACGACAAAACGCTTGGTGAACGACCCTGCTGAAAAAAAGGAATAAATGAAACATGTCAAGATGTTATTCCAAACACATCAGATTTAACTATATTTACATTAAATTGATGCATATATACAGTCCACAATCCGATACTTGTTGGTTGTGAGGCAAGACGACACCAACCAGAAGATTGGAATTGAGATAAAAAGTCCACTAGGCCTGCAGGAATTCCTCGAACAACATCACAACTAAACCCATCAACTGGCAGTAATAGAGCTAAAGGTAAATCAGGAGACTCCTCTAAACGAATTTCTCGTCCATCAGCTCGAGTTAATTCATCGGCAACAGATTCTGCCATTCTGACTGTGGCATCTATCAATGAACGGGAAATTGTTTCTTGTGAAAGTAATGAACCCATTTGTAGTGAGTTAAGACGAAAGCATGAGCATGCTAGTTGTTGAACCTCTGTGACAGACGTTTTTGGTGCCTGAAGAAATTCTGCACACTGATTTATTTTTGCTAAATGACAATCTGCTGCCAATTCTAAACCTTGTTTTTCAGCCCATAATTCTAAAAGTGCCAAACGATCACTTAATGCTTTTCCCCACATGCTGGTGCACATATGTGACGTTGTTACAAACTGTTAAATTAAAAACAGAAAACAATAATCTTACTCTGTCAAAATTATACAGCACTCTCTGCTTACCTTATTAAAGCAAACAACATTAATATAGTGGAATAGTTGAGAAAACAATTGAATAGTAAGTGCCGCATTTACTCGACATCTTCTCAGAAGTGCCATAGCGGAACCAAGAACTGACAAAACAAGACCAGCTGCTGAATCATGATCTATATTCTCGGACAGGAATTGATTTAATGTTTGTGATAATTCTGAATGAAAAATTGATACGAGATTTTGAAATGCAGCCTGTACACACTCTGCTAAAACTTCCTGTGCTTGCACACTAAACGCCGATATGTGACGATCTGATTTTAGAAAATGTAGAAATTCACTGCTATTTGCCATCCAGAATGATAAGATTTTCGGATCATTATATTTTTCTTGAATGATGTTATGTATCAGGTTTGCGACATGATGCAGGAACACGGTTAATTTATGGGCCCGCTCAGTCGGTTGTAAATCTGGACGATAATGAGTAGATGCACGATATCTTGCACACAAATAAAGTGTATAAACAGGAGCAAGTTTAAAATTCGGTGCGTTTACGTCTAATTCAGTAATAACAGATTTCAAAAATTGTTCCTGGCTATGTTCAGGAAATTCAAGAACTGCCGGCAATATAGCTTCTTGTCCTTGCTGTTCCGTCATTGTTGGTGTTGCAGACATTCCTGCTGACTGTTTAGCAAAACATTGAGAACGACTGAGAGGAAACAAAAAAGAAAGAAATAAGAGAAAAGTAACAAATTAGAAATTCCGGAGTTCAACATTTATTTGAAAATTATTGGTTCGCGATATGACGAAATTTTTCATAACTTTAATGCAATAAAAAACACTTAGTTAAACAACAAATAAATATACCAAACACAAAACAAATAATGAATGCTATTTAACTGCAAAACCGAGAATTAATAATATAAAGGATTAAAACATTGAGTGAATGTATCACCTGTCCTGACTCCTCATACTTGACACCGATTTAGTTTCATTCTCAATATTTCCTGCGTCATTATCAAACATTGATTTATCATCACTTGATGGTTGTGCTGTTAATTTTAGTTCGTTACTTCCTGGGCTGTGCTGCTGTTGTGAATTTGTTATTTTTTGCTGTGGTTGTTGCTGTGTCATTTGCATTGCCTTTTGTGGAATTGATTGTTGCTTTTTATTTGTGTAATTTGAACTAGTTATGCTGGTGTCCTCATCTTCATGCCATGAAGGAGGATTTGTGGCTGATCGACTAATGTTGTTCATAAGTTATTTTATTATGCATTTATGAAATGTTTGTGGTGTGCGACATGATTATAAAATTTATGATGAAACATTGACGTTTGAACAAAAATGATAAAACAATAAAAAAAAAAAAAATAAAACAAGGAACAAAAATGAAAATATTAACATTTAATGATTTTTTTGATGTACAGCAATGTTTTTTATATGTATCAAAGGATATACTAAGACCTTAGCAAAACCAATTTTGTTTCATTTTACACTGTGAATATTTTAATTGCTCAAATTCAATCAATTATAAATATAATTTCATTAACTTTGCACAACATGGAAACAGTAAAGTCTGATGTATTAGATTATCAGTCAATTGGAGGTTAAAGTATAATAAAATGTCATCAAATGTAATTACATTGTATGAAGAAGTTTTTTTAGTCACGTACAAAATAAATGCCAATCATGAAAATTATTAAGACACATGAGGGCTAATAAATCAATAATTTTTTTTTCAACATAAGAAAAATAGAAATAGTTGAGAGAGAAAAGTGTCAAAAGATGTGGTCAAACAACATAACGTTAACATGCTGAGAGAGCCAATTAAATTTTGTGTCATAAAAGAGTACGTAACTAGTAAAACATGCAATGAAATAAATAAATAAATGAAAATCTTTGATCCCAATAATTTTGAGAAGATCTTTAGCACCTTTCATCAAGGAAACACTAATTTATATTTTCATATTACATATTAAAAAAAAAACATAATATTACTTACTTTTCATACAAGTAGGCAGAATCTAATTGAGATTGTGATAGCGCCAAATTGTATCGTCCATCAGAAGGAACATCAACAAAGCGATATGATGCCGTTCTTCCAAACATCACTACAGATCCGTTCTATAAATAAAATATGAAAAGAAATTAATTTCATTATAACGACTGATTTTCAATGTAAACAGACGAAAGTTTTTCTTTACTCGTGTTTTTCTTTCAAACTTTTTTTTTTGCTCTCTTTTCAAAAGAAATTTAACCAAAGAATAATATGAAAATTTTTATTAACGCATATCTGCTAAACATTTAATTTTATTCAAACCGTTTTCACGTGTGAATCTATTGGTTTTGTTAAGATTGAAAAATCAGATTTTTGCATTTTGTGAGAAAACGAAGCAAAATTGGTTATGAAACGTCACAGAAGAAAAGTTTGTGCCTAAAATTTTACATCTTTTTCAAAAAACAGATTTCAAATTGGTTGCGGCATTGCTGAAAATATCGCAAAATACGCTTTCTGTAAGCAAACAAGCAAGCAAGCAAGTTAATCAGCAAGAAATCTCAATAACGAGACATCGTAGAGACTTCTAGTTTTTACATTTGATCCGTGCTGCTCTATAGCTTTATACCTTCAAACTTATGCTGAACGAAGCTCAGCTGAATCGCTAGCTTTATACCTTCAAACTTATGCTGAGCGAAGCTCAGTTGACTTATCAAGCTTCATACCTTCATACTTATGCTGGGCAAATCTTGGTCTATCCATAAGACTTTTGATGGTACGGTGTGAATATAATCCGCATTGGGTTTCTACCCGATACACTAGTTTTACTTATTGAGTAGTTAAGGTTAGCTTGAAAAAAAACACGGTAAATGATGTCTTTTGGGACAACTTTCCCATTCTAATAGTTTTTATGAACATTAAAAGAAATGTGTATGTATATGCATAATATTGACTTACATGTAGAATTGTTGGTTGGGTTATATGATGTCCGTTAACAAATGTTAATCCATCAGCATGAAGGGGTGTCACAGTACATACTCCCTCATGCAACGATATTAAGCAATGTCGTGGTTGTATTGATGGTCCAAATAACTGTAATACATTTGTGTTTGCCGAGCCTACTTCAATCGGTTCAATGGTTAATTTAACTCTACGTCCACCATCTCCTGAATGTGTTATTTCTACCAGCATTGGGCCTTCACGCTCTGCTGACGTGTTACTGCTCCCATTGCTTATTCCGAGTGGTTTTTTCTTTCGTCGCCGTGGTTGTGAATCAGCTGGACGTCGACGGACGTGGAACATTATAGATCCTATATTGTCAAGAATAACAGATAAAATTTTGAATCAATTTCAATAAAACAGTGAACACAGATTTTTCAATTTATTTAATTCAATAATGAAATGCAAGTGTATACACTGTTTAAAAGGATACGTCCAATTAATAAAGTTTTAAGTTTTGATGTAGAATTATGAAGCAGAACCTTGAAGACACTACAGCAATTTCTTATTTGACTAATTATACGATAGAATAGAAAAATAGAGTTTTTTAAATAGGCATTTTGTAAATTCAGGCTCAAAATAAAGTATGAATCATTCGGCACATTGTATTAAAATTCAACATACGAAAATAAAATTAAAATGTTCTGTATAATATTTAAGTGAGCCATGTGTTTAATACTGTATTATAAAGACAAATAAGGTTGAATAATTTAAAATTAATTGAATAATTGGATTTCTTGGATTAAACAAAATTGATTACAAAATCATACATTTTTGAAAAATCTGCAAATTTCCTTACTGAATACAAATGATATTGACAGAAACATGCAAAAATCCTTGAATTTCATAATATCAAAATTTGTTCAAATAGTCATTCAATATTGATTGAAAATGACAGAACCTTATAGGGTAAATACTTTTGAAAATTGCACACTTTTGAAATTTGCACACTCATATGAAAATAAAAAAAAATATCCCAAAATATCCACTTCTGATAATACTTTCTTCACAAAATCTTTGTATAATTATTGTACAAATGTTGTTGTACCATTTTAAGTTGTCTAAAGGCATCAGGAAGATGAACTCATTGAGCGATCAGTTTTTCATACAAAACGAAACTTTGCAAAATATAAAGTTTTGGGATACAATCAGTAGCTTTATCAAATATTTTTATATAAACAAGTGTATCGGGTAGAAACCCAATGCGGCAATATTCACACCGTACCATCAAGAGTTTTATGGAAAGACAAAGATTTGCTCAGCATAAGTTTGCAGGTGTAAAGCTTGATAAGTCAGCTGAGCTTCGCTCAGCATAAGTTTAAAGATGTAAAGCTAGCTAGTCAGCATAAGTTTGAAGGTATAAAGTTAGCGAGTCAGCTGAGCTTCGCTCAGCATAAGTTTGAAGGTATAAAGCTAGAGAATCAAAAACTTTGCATAAATATTCTAGTGCTTAAAACAAATACAAATAAGACATCCTAAAATTTTTTTGAGTAAAGAACCAAGTAGGAAATACATTTTCAATTTTGGACTAGGGGCGACCCTAGTCAAAATCAATTTTGTCACTTTTTTCTTCGAGGGTTTATCCAAATGGATTGAAACTTTGCATAAATATTTTAGTGCTTAAAACAAATACAAATAAAACATCTTAAATTTTTTTTGAGCATAGAACCAAGTAGGAAACTAGATTTTGACTAGACCTGTCCCAAGTTCATAATTGAAAATGTATTTCCTACTTGGTTCTTTGCTCAAAAAAATTTTAAGATGTTTTATTTGTATTTGTTTTAACCAAAAAAAAATTTATGCAAAGTTTTAATCCATTTGGATAAACCCTCGAAGAAAAAAGTGACAAAATTGATTTTGACTAGGGTCGCTCCTTGTTCAAAATTGAAAATGTATTTCCTACTTGGTTCTTTGCTCAAAAAATTTTAGGATGTTTTATTTGTATTTTTTTAAGCACTTAAATATTTATGCAAAGTTTCAATCCATTTGAAAAAACCCTCGAAGAAAAAAGTGACAAAATTGATTTTGACTAGGGTCGCTCCTTGTCCAAAATTGAAAATGTATTTCCTACTTGGTTCTTTGCTCAAAAAAATTTTAGGAGGTTTTATTTGTACTTGTTTTAAGCACTAGAGTATTTATGCAAAGTTTTAATCCATTTGGATGAACCCTCGAAGAAAAAAGTGACAAAATTGATTTTGACTAGGGTCGCACCTAGTCCAAAATTGAAAATGTATTTCCTACTTGGTTCTTTGCTTAAAAAAATTTTAAGATGTTTTATTTGTATTTGTTTTAAGCAAAAAAATATTTATGCAAAGTTTTAATCCATTTGGATAAACCCTCGAAATAAAAAGTGACAAAATTGATTTTGACTAGGGTCGCACCTAGTCCAAAATTGAAAATGTATTTCCTACTTGGTTCTTTGCTCAAAAAAATTTTAGGAGGTTTTATTTGTATTTGTTTTAAGCACTAGAGTATTTATGCAAAGTTTTAATCCATTTGGATAAACCCTCGAAGGAAAAAGTGACAAAATTGATTTTGACTAGGGTCGCACCTAGTCCAAAATTGAAAATGTATTTCCTACTTGGTTCTTTGCTTAAAAAAATTTTAAGATGTTTTATTTGTATTTGTTTTAAACATTAGAATATTTATGCAAAGTTTCAATCCATTTGGATAAACCCTTGAAGAAAAAAGAAAATTGAAAATTTATTTCCTTCTTGGTTCTTTGCTCAAAAAAATTCTAAGATGTTTTATTTGTATTTGTTTTAAGCACTAGAATATTTATGCAAAGTTTCAATCCATTTAGATAAACCCTCAAAGAAAAAAGTGACACAATTGATTTTGACTAGGGTCGCCACTAGTCCAAAATTGAAAGTGTATTTCCTACTTGGTTCTTTGTTCAAAAAAAATTTAGGATGATTTATTTGTATTTGTTTTAAGCACTTAAATATTTATGCAAAGTTTCAATCCATTTGTATAAACCCTCAAAGAAAAAAGTGACACAATTGATTTTGACTAGGGTCGCCACTAGTCCAAAATTGAAAGTGTATTTCCTACTTGGTTCTTTGCTCAAAAAAAAATTTAGGATGTTTTATTTGTATTTGTTTTAAGCACTAGAATATTTTTGCAAAGTTTTAATCCATTTGGATAAACCCTCGAAATAAAAAGTGACAAAATTGATTTTGACTAGGGTCGCACCTAGTCCAAAATTGAAAATGTGTTTCCTACTTGGTTCTTTGCTCAAAAAAATTTTAGAATGTTTTATTTGTATTTGTTTTAAGCACTAGAATATTAATGCAAAGTTTCAATCCATTTGGATAAACCCTCGAAGAAAAAAGTGATAAAATTGATTTTGACCAAAAAAAAATAATTGTTTACATAAATTAAATACAAAAATGTCATGGATTGCTATCAAAAAAGTGTGAAAATTTTAAAAGTTTTTTGTGCAAATTTTTAAAATTTCCATGCAAATTTCAAAAGTCAAAAATAAAACGCTTATATTTCTGCTGATATCCATCGCAGCTTTCAGAAAAAAGTTGCAAATGAAAATTTCCACAATTTTCAACAGCTCAAAAGTTTTTTTAAGCCTTAACAATAATCTGTTGAAAAGTTCCAAGCAAATAAAATTTTCATGTGCAAAGTTGTGCAAATTTCAAAAGTATTTACCCTATTTGAATGATTATTTTCTACAATTCAAACACATTAGGTGACAAATATGAATTATGAACATACGAGTTCATTTATTAGAAACAGTGAAAAAACAAAATTTTAAGACACCACAAAATCCTTATTTAGTTATTTTTTAATTTTTAAACTACAATTAAGAGCTTTCTTTCAAAGTAGTAAAGTTCTATTTGTTTTTTAAAGAACAAAATGAATGTATGTTGTTTAAATACATATCATCAGTATAAGACTAGAATCGCAATTAAAACTGAGTCTATGCTGACCTTTTAAGCAAATGAAAAGCACCTTGCAGAACACTTGTATTTTTTCTAATGAACTTGAATTAAAAATGCTATGCGATTCTATGACGTTAAAAGCACCAACTGCTTCAAGCACTTTTGTTTTTACTCGGTTATTTTTAATATCCTCACATATCGTTTCCAACTCCTCGTATCGTGTCTCTGTAAGAATGTTAAATGAAAAATGTAAGCATGAAGCTCACTACAATGTTATTATTGTATGCTAAAAGCACACAAAGAAAAGAAAAAAAGCTTATGACACAATATGAAAAGTAATAAAAGTATGAGAAAGAGCACGAAGCCGAGCTTCTCTTTTTTCCGTTCATATTTTCATTTCTACACTTAAATTTACATCAGTGAATGTAGTTATGAAGCCATTCATATAAGCACGACTGAATGATGTGGAAGGTAATATATAAAAAGAACATTAACAATGTAATTAGTAAATTTATTAATTTTCTGACATTCTATATCATTTAATTTCTTTCTTATTATAAGTTATCTTCCAATGACAATTAAAAAGTGCACTAAGAGGAATGTAGTGTTATTGCTATTATCATTATTGTTTCCTAAGATTTTAAGGTCTTTAAACATGCCACATCGACACAATGAAGAAGAAAATACAAGGTCAGATATAATATCTAACTTTATTTCTCTCAACAAATGTTTGACAAACAAACAAAATTATCGATTTCTATATTCTATTTTATTACAGACTACGAGTTTTAATCAATTAATATACTCATTACTAAGTGAATGTCGCACCCAAGTTTTTAAATTTCTCGTATAATTTCCTTTTTCGCCTTAATATTAATATTAATATAGCTTCAAAAATATTATTTCCAAGAGAGATTGAGTAAAGAAACGAGTTGTGCAAAGATCACGATGAAGATTTACTTATAGCGGAAATGGAAAAACTAATGACTAAATTTCGACCAAATATTACGCAAGAATATTATTATTTCCTTGTTCAGTTGAAATTCTAGCCACTTTTGTATAAGGTACTATCCTCATATAAGACTATTAATTTCTTAATATAAACGACAGCTTTTAAAATGAATCAAAAAAAATATTTTTGTACTGGATAAATAAAGTTGTGTAAAGTAATTTTTTTAGTTTGAATTCAATTTATTCAAATGTAAATTCATACTTACTTCGAATACCCCAATCAAGCATGTCTAGTTTGGTTAATTTCTATTTGGTGTTTTCCCCAAAGGTTTTATGGGTTTTATTAGATTTTCATTATAAAATGAATTTAATTTAATTACTTTTTCACTTTTTATGGTAAATACACATTTTTTTAAATTATATTAATGTCCTTTTTGAGCAGATAAATTTAGTGGTAAAACTTTTCAATTCTATCATTTAAACTATTTTAACCTAGTTTTGTTTGTTTTTTAGATCCTAAAGCCATGATTGTTCAAAACAATTTGTGTTGTGAAAAAAAGGGAACACAAGATTTATGTAGTAAATGTATATTTGACGGCAGACTAGAACAAAATTAAATTTTGTGAAGAAATCCAGGAATTTTAAAAAAGTAAATACGATAAAAACAAAACAATACATTAAAAGGATAAGTGTTTATCTCATTTCAAAAATAAAGTTTTATCTCCATACAGTTATTTTTAATTAACATTTCTTTACAATCGATTCAGTTAATGTAATCTAATATACGGTTAGCTTTTTGAGAACTAAATTTGAAACCATTTGAAAATGTACATAAAAAGTTTTAGGCCTTTGTCATGATGCAATTAACACTACAATTAAGAAAAATAGATTTTGCATAAAGCTAATTACATTATCAAATGATTGGACAGTTTTTTTGAATGTTTCATATTTTTCTTTTATCTATTTCTAATTAATTTTAGTCATTTGAAGTCATAAACGAATATGAAATCTGATAAATGCGTTATGACTGTCTCAAGCAATGATAAAGTAAAAATGTTTACTAGAGAAAGAAACTGATTAAAACTAAATTGAACTTTTGAAACAATTCTTTATAATCATTTAAAATATGCTAAACTTTAATAGTAATAATTATAAATTTTAAGTTCGTAGATAAAAAAAAATTGTTTTTTTTTCTTCATTTAATGAATAGAGTGCCTTACACAAACTTTTTTGAATTAATGTCTATGATAATTGATCAGATGTGAAAGCGAAGAAAAAAATAACTTTCATTCTAGTATTTGAGCCATGTCCTTATGTACATAAATGATATTTTTGGGAAAAAGGAATGTCCTTAGCAATACCAAATATTTTTTAAATGTAAAATGTTATGTTTTATATATTGGTTTACCTCCTTAAAGCTTATGTTTCATGCTAGGGCAAATAATATATGTGTAAGATAAACGAATAGCGAACTCAAGGATACATTAAGAAGCTTTCTGATAAGTTTATTGTAAAGTTAACATTCTCGTAATTTGCGGAATTACAATAAACTTCCCTAGGAATGTTCATTTTATTGAGTAAGCAACTTTATTGTTCAGTCTTTCATATAAACAACATTTGAAGTGAATTCTTTATCTTTAAGAAGGAAGCTCTTGTTTTTTTTTTCGTTTATGTTTATAAACTTGATGAGAGGATGTATGTGCTTAATCGTAAACAGTCATAAAAAGGTCTCGAATGAGTAACGAGAAAATAAACTTTAGAAATAAACAATTGATAACTTTTATTCCATAAAAACATATAAACTTTGTATTCGTACTGTATGCTAAGCATCACTTAATTTCCTTTTTAGTCTATTATTTTTTTCTTTATCGACTTTTTATTTCTAGTGCTTCTTTAAATTAATCATGATAAAAAAATAAGACAAAAAATTTACTTCGTAAAATGAACTAAAAAGAGAAAGAGCTTTATTTTTCTGAGGATAAATAATAAAGTTTTTCATAATAGATGGTAAATAAAGGAAAAGAAAATGGGACGAGAAACGAAGGATAAAAAAAATTGTAGAGCCATTTCAAAATAAAATAAATTTAATTTGCCTCGGTATTTTCACTGCTTGTTAACTGTATAAATATTGTTCCGATGGTGCTGCTCGCGCGCGATTTTTCTTAACCATGGCACAACCATCAAACAGAACATAATCACTGAAACTGACTATTTACAATTGAAAAGAAAAAACGTTTTCTCTGATTGAAACGTTTCTTTTCTCATCACCAACCGAACAACGAATACATTTTCTTTTTTTCACACGACGACTGCCAGATGATTTTCTCATGTGTATATTTTCCTTTTTTATATTCACACCGTTTTCACATGTGAATCTATTGGTTTTGTTCAGATTGAAAAAACAGTTTTTCGCATTTTGTGAGAAAGCAAAGCAAAATTGGTTATAAAAGGTCACAGAAGAAAAGTTTGTGCCTGAAATTTTACATCATTTTCAAAAAACAGATTTCAAATTGGTTGTGGCATTGCTGAGAAAACCTCAAAATACGCTTTCTGTAAGCAAACAAGCAAGCAAGCAAGTTAATCAGCAAGAAATCTCAATAACGAGACATCGTAGAGAATTCTAGTTTTTTACATTTGATCCGTGCTGCTCTATAGAAGAGCTGTATTGTTTTTGGGAAAGGTAGGAACAGCCGTTGGTTTAGAAAAAGCAAAAAACTTTACTTTCTCGCGAATTTTTCAAAAAAAAAGTTTACTGTGATTTTTATAAAATTCAACTTTTGACGTTAAGCTTTGGGGCCGTTCACTTATTACGTTCGCATTTTAGGGGGGAGGGGGGTTTGAAAAATTGTAACAAAATGTAACATAGGGAGGGGGGGGGGTCAAGAAGTATGTAACGTTCGAACTGTCGTCTGTCTTAAAAAAAGTTCACGAAAAAAATTTGTTTACAAATTCATACCAAAAACATTTTTTTAAATTTTTCACCTTTTTAATGATAAAATAAATTATGAACGTTTAGGGGGGGGGGGGGGGGGGGTTATGAGTTGTAACATATTGTAACAAGGGGGGCGAGGGGGGGTGAAAAAAGTCGTTTTTTTGCGTAACGTAATAAGTGAACGGCCCCTTTAGACCTTCAAACTTATGCTGAGCAAAGCTCAGCTGACTCGCTAGCTTTATATCTCAAAACTTATGCTGAGCGAAGCTCAGTTAACTTATCAAGCTTCATACCTTCATACTTATGCTGGGCAAATATTGGTCTACGTACGGTGTGAATATAATCCGCATTGGGTTTCTACCCGATACACTAGTTTTCTTCTTCTTTTTAATAAAGTTTAGATACAGAAGAGAGAAAAAATGAGAATTGAGAAAATCAAGAGAGAAAAATTTTGAGAAAGAGCGGAAATCCGAAAAAAATTTCAAATTATTCACTGCTATTTACTTACTTTAAAACAAAAAAATCATAAAGGAATTGTTTACTATCTACAATTCTATTATTAATAACACATGAGTTGTCAAATACTATCATTCGTGGATTCTTTTTTAAAAAAGTAGTCATTTGAATAATTTAAAATCCCTCGTAGTTTACGCGATAAAAGTATGAGTAAAAAAAATGTTTTTAAAATTTAGTTTATAACACAATTTTTTGCTTGAATCGTTTTATGAAATTCGAGAAAAACAAAAGCTTTAATAAAATCAATATCCGACCATCGCTTTAAGAGATAAAAATTTAATGTGTAAAATATGAGGAAAGGTTAAATATCATGTGTAAGTATTTGCAATATTTATTTTTGGTTTACGATATGTTTACTTAAGTCTCATGATAGTTTTTTACTATTTGAAATGTTTAGAAAATATTCTTATTTCTTTTGTCTCATAAATTTGAGGCTTACTGAATTTAAATGTGAATTAAACATATAATTTCTGACTAAACGAATTATTGAAACTCAATTTCTTTAAAACAAATGAATCAAATAAGTGTTGGAAAACCTTTCAAATGTTTTAACTCAAACATTTGTATTGAGCCATACGATGCTTCGTATTTTAATAAATAAGTAAAATTCACTTACCTCTTGATGTCGGATGATTCATTAGTATTGATAAAGGACATTCATCGTCGTCAAGAATATACTCAGACCCATCACTATTAACCTAAAATGCATTTAAATTTCACTCAGAATTCGGATTATTATTAAGTTTTATTTCCTTACCTGAACTAGACAAAAGTGACGATCGTCTGATTTTTCCATTCCATATTTTGATAACATTTCTCTAACAACTGCTTGAGCACAATCACGTATTGACAATAATAATGTTTTATAAGGCACTTCTCGACACAAACTCTCTCCATAAATTTTTAATGTTCCTCCGGTATCCGGTTGTCCATCTCTTGATCTAAATTGCTGTAACTTTTTTTCAAGTTTTTGCTGACGTCTTCGTCTCATGACAGCTTCTGGATTTGATATTGATCGAGTAAAAGATGTCTCTGGAAGCTCTATAAAAAGACAAAACGTTTTAAACTAATAAATAAAGCAAAAATGCTTTGAAATTACCAGTATACAATTTTTCAGCCACATGATTTTCTGATTCATCAGCATTTGAATTGAGTTTTTGCAATTTTTCTTTTTTCTTTTGCTCCTTCTTTTCACGTTTCGATAGTTTTCTTTTAAAGTTTGTGTCGGTACTGTCTAACGTCTGTGACGAATTTAATATGAATGGAAAGAAATATGTGTTATTAGTTCCTTGTTGTAAAATGATTCAACTAAAAAAAAGGAAAAGAACTTTTAAAACTTACTGTGGGTTTCTGATCCAAATCTTTTAATAAAAATCTTCCTTCGCGATCATCAACATGCCAGTTAAGTTGCACCAGCAGTGGTTTCTCATCTGGATTTAGTTTTCTTTCCTCACCATTTGCATGAACTTCATATAACGCATAATTTGGGACGGATAACATTCGCATATCAGGACGGAATTTCTCAATTAATGTTTCAATCACATCAGCAACAGTTGCGTCAGACTGAACGCGAATACATTTAGTTGCTACTTTTTGGCCAACATCTTGAAAATAAAATCTCATTACACCATGAAATTCAAGATTTTCACTTGGCTCTGATAACTCAAACAGATCTAATCGATTTGCATTCCATTGCTGGATCACAGACCGCAATGCTTCGCGATCTAACATTCGTTTCTCATTTAATGACATTGTCATCTATATTTTTATTTCGATTATTTTGATTACTTTTTGTCTGAAATGATAAGGGGAAAAATCATTTTTAAGGGCTTTAATATTTTTGTTTTGATGTTTTAAATAATATTAGATTATCATTAATTGTGATACAAGTCCTTAAATTTCCAAGGAAATCTGGAAAGCCTAGCAACAATTCAATAAAAGAAAGTATCAATAAAAATTTTGCAGCAGAAATATTGATTACAAAAACATCATCATCGTTACATCTTAAAAATCAGATTAAAATGTATGTCCCATATGATAATGCATGTATTAAAGTAGTTGCATAGAAGAAATTGGTTCTTTGCTCAAAAAAATTTTAGGATGTTTTATTTGTATTTGTTGTAAGCACTAGAATATTTATGCAAAGTTTCAATCCATTTGGAAAAACCCTCGAAGAAAAAAGTGACAAAATTGATTTTGACTAGGGTCGCCCCTAGTCCAAAAATTGAAAATGTATTTCCTACTTGGTTCTTTGCTCAAAAAAAAATTTAGGATGTTTTATTTGTATTTGTTTTAAGCATTAGAATATTTATGCAAAATTTCAATCCATTTGGAAAAACCCTCGAAGAAAAAAGTGACAAAATTGATTTTGACTAGGGTTGCCCCTAGTCCAAAATTGAAAATGTGTTTCCTTCTTGGTTCTTTGCTCAAAAAAATTTTAAGATGTTATATTTGTATTTGTTTTGAGCACTTGAATATTTATGCAAAGTTTCAATCCATTTGGAAAAACCCTCGAAGAAAAAAGTGACAAAATTGATTTTGACTAGGGTCGCCCCTAGTCCAAAATTGAAAATGTATTTCCTTCTTGGTTCTTTGCTCAAAAAAATTTTAGGATGTTTTATTTGTATTTGTTTTAAGCACTAGAATATTTATAAAAAGTTTCAATCCATTTGGATAAACCTTCGAAAAAAAAAATGAAAAACTAGATTTTGGCTAGACCTGTCCCAAGTTCATAATTAAAAATGTATTTCCTACTTGGTTCTTTGCAGGATGTTTAATTTGTATTTGTTTTAAGCACTTGAATATTTATGCAAAGTTTCAATCCATTTGGATAAACCCTCGAAGTAAAAAGTGACAAAATTGATTTTGACTAGGGTCGCCCCTAGTCCAAAATTGAAAATGTATTTCCTTCTTGGTTCTTTGCTCAAAAAAATCTTAAGATGTTTTATTTGTATTTGTTATAAGCACTAGAATATTTATAAAAAGTTTCAATCCATTTGATAAAACCTTCGAAAAAAAAATGAAAAACTAGATTTTGACTAGACCTGTCCCAAGTTCATAATTGAAAATGTATTTCCTACTTGGTTCTTTGCTCAAAAAAATTTCAAGATGTTTTATTTGTATTTGTTTTAAGCATTAAAATATTTATGCAAAGTTTCAATCCATTTGGAAAAACCCTCGAAGAAAAAAGTGACAAAATTGATTTTGACTAGGCTCGCCCCTAGTCCAAAATTGAAAATGTATTTCCTTCTTGGTTCTTTACTCAAAAAAATTTTAGGATGTTTTATTTGTATTTGTTTTGAGCACTTGAATATTTATGCAAAGTTTCAATCCATTTGGATAAACCCTCGAAGAAAAAAGTGACAAAATTGATTTTGACTAGGCTCGCCCCTAGTCCAAAATTGAAAATGTATTTCCTTCTTGGTTCTTTGCTCAAAAAAATTTTAAGATGTTATATTTGTATTTGTTTTAAGCACTAGAATATTTATGCAAAGTTTCAATCCATTTGTATAAACCCTCAAAGAAAAAAGTGACAAAATTGATTTTGACTAGGGTCGCTCCTAGTAGGGTTTGGGGAATCTGTTAACATTTCTTATTTTTCGACAAAAATCTGTTAACAGAAAACAGGTCTCAAAAACAGATCTGTTTTCTGTTTTTCATTTTTATATAAAATTTACAGAAAAAAAATTTTTTTAATTTTTTGAAGAACTTAATATATTTTTCTAGCATTTCAAATTGAAATGCATTTACTATTTTAATATTTTTTGGATGTTTAATAGGTTTTTTTTTTTAAAGATTGATTCGTTTTATTGTATTTTAGTTTAAACTATTAATACAAAAAAAAAATAATATATAAGATACATTTAAGAAGCTTAATTACTATAGTTTTACATATCACACCACAAATGCTTTAAATGAAGATGCTCTTTTAAATGAGTTTTGAATAAATTAATGCTTACAAACTTCTTCTTTTCAACTGGAATATTATTAAACTCTGCAAGGGCTCTAATAAAGAAATTTTGAGCACCAAGTTGAGTGTTTGTCCTTTGAATCACTAAATTGTTGGCGTTTCTTGTGGCATGCCTATGAATTTGGTTTACATATTGAAATGGTAGATTAAGTTTTGCAGTGTTATTTATTAATTTAAAAACTAAATAAGCTGATGATAGCTGACACATTGCTGAGACAGGCAATACTTTTTCAGAATATATGAAATCATTATCAAATTTATGGTTAATCATTTTTAATTTTGCAATCGAAATTTTAAATTTGTTGAACCTTTTGTAGCATTTACTAAAGTTTAAAAATATAATCAACAATTTTACAAGATATTTTTTTATTCAGAAAGATTTTTTGAATATTTCAAATAAAATATTAAAGCTTATGGAACTTTTACAATGCAACAATGCAATGTTACTTAAAGGTATAAATTTTTTTGGATTTTTTTTTTTGCATTTTTAAATTTCATTAATTTCATTCGAGTTAAATAACATAAAAAAATAAGAAATAATAATGCGTAGCTCTAAAATGTATGCTTAACTGCTTATAACCACCAAAAAGTTTCATTATCTTAGAGAAACACTTAGGATAACTCAGTTTAATTTGAATTCTAGAAAAACAGGAAAACAGCTGTTTTTAAAAATCAAAAATCGAAAACAGACTGTTTTTCAAAAACAGCTGTTTTCCACAAACTTTAGCCCCTAGTCCAAAATTGAAAATGTATTTCCTCCTTGGTTCTTTGCTCAAAAAAATTTTTTTCATCCAAAGTTTAATTTAAAAAAAAATCATAGTGAACTTTTAATTTGAAAAATTCGTAAGAAAGGAAAGTATTTTGCTTTTTCTCAAGCAACGGCTGTTCCTACCTTGCCCAAAAACAATACAGCTCTTCTATATAGCAGCACGGATCAAATGTAAAAAACTAGAAGTCTCTACGATGTCTCGCTATTGAGATTTCTTGCTGATTAACTTGCTTGTTTGCTTCTTTGCTTGTTTGCTTGCTTACAGAAAGCATATTTTACGATTTTCTCAGCAATGCCGCGACCAATTTGAAATCTGTTTTTTGCAAAAGATGTGAAATTCAAGGCACAAACTTTTTATCTCTGAACATTTTAAGCTTTCTTGCTCCATATCCTCACAAAATTCTAAAAACTGATTTTTCAATCTGAACAAAACCAATAGATTCACACGGGAAAACGGTGTGAATATAAAAAAAATGATAATACATACTACACACATCACTTTATAATTTCTATCATAGGAATAGAATGCAATAATTTTAATAAACAAAGCATTTCAGAGACATGTATGTCAATCAATTTTAGTGTGCCTTTAGCAAGGTTATATTTGAAGATTAAGATAAGACACAAATTAACTGACTTCTTTTGGAATAATTCTTTTTTTTTTTCGTGTAGGTAATAGGGATATTAAATTTATTTGAGATTCCATTGCAATTTTTTTCTTGCTTTACTTTATTTTTATATTCACACCGTTTTCACGTGTGAATCTATTGGTTTTGTTCAGATTGAAAAATCAGTTTTTCGCATTTTGCGATGAAATGTAGCAAGATAGCTTAACATGTTCTAAGATTTAAAGTTTGTGTCTGAAATTTCACATCTTTTGCAAAAAACAGATTTCAAATTGGTTGATGAGAAAATCGCAAAATATGCTTTCTGTAAGCAAGCAAACAAGCAAGTTAATCAGCAAGAAATCTCAATAACGAGACATCGTAGAGACTTCTAGTTCTTTACATTTGATCCGTGCTGCTCTATAGAAGAGCTGTATTGTTTTTGGGCAAGGTAGGAACAGCCGTTGCTTCACAAAAAGCAAAAAACTTTCCTTTCTTACAAATTTTTCAAAACAAAAGTTCACTGTGATTTTTTTTTTAAAATTCAACTTTTGACGTTAAGCTTTAGACCTTCAAACTTATGCTGAGCGAAGCTCAGCTGACTCGCTAGCTTTATATCTCCAGACTTATGCTGAGCAAAGCTCAACTGACTCGCTAGCTTTACATCACAAAACTTATGCTGAGTGAAGCTCAGTTAACTTATCAAGCTTCATATCTTAATACTTATGCTGATATAATCCGCATTGGGTTTCAAATCGATACACTGGTTATTCATTGTATTCTTGTAGCGCGTAACACCAAAAGAATGAAATTCAATTAAATTTAAATTTTTTTAAATGTAGTAAAACGAGTTTATCCATTTAGTTCAATTGCAAATGCGTTAAAAATACTAGCTAAATTTTGTGAGTTTCTTTACCAGAATACGCAGAATACTTAAAAAAAAAATTTAGTACTTCAGCGATTATAATAAAAATTTACGCTTGTCATTGAGTAAAGCCAGTAAATCATAATATCACCTCAAGTTCTTTGATACTTTAAAGAAAAATTCGACCAAGTAACGTGATTAGCCCCTAAACTATTTTCATTAAATCATTAAGAAGATATTTCACAATACGCGTTCTTTTATTTGAAATTTATGATGCATGAATCATCCAAATTTACAACAGATTTGTGAAGCAATCCGACAACTAAATTATGTCTACAGCATATGACACCATAAGAATCTTAATTCTTTCTCTTCTAATTATCACCTTTTCACTTTGTCTAGAATTTATAAATTGTTCTCATATGCATTTACATGCATGAAATATTTATTATATTAACAAAATTAGAGCATTCATTAATTATCATTCTGTTGTTGCGTCAATTAATCCAAAGAATGAAACTGAACAATGAAAATAATAAAATTAATTTGGTATGATATTATTAATTCTAATAAGTTGAATGTTCAA